TATAAAGTAGACAGAAAAAACAATCATAATGTTGACTATTTTTTCAGAATTTATAGTGTTTTTCAAAATAAAAATATAATTATACATTATAATTTGTTTTGATAGTAATTGTGCTATTAGTTTGGGCTAATTAGTAGACTGATTTCGAAATATATTATTTATTTTATACATATATTTTATTACATTCCTCAGAATTCCCTTTATATATAAACTCTTATAGACTGTCATTAGTCTCTAGATTAGTTGAATCATTGGAAACAGTGTCTATGTCTCTATTGCACATGGATGTACTTAAAAAAAATTAGCTTATATTTTTATAAAATGTAGGTAAAAATATAATAAAATTAGAATAACTGATTATTACATTACCATTTTCATTATTTGTACAATTTCTGGGGTCGCTTAATCTCACATTTGTAATTACATTATTGGTTACATTTTGTTACTCACTATTTGTCACGATTGTACCTAAAAAATCTTAACAAGCTTATATTTTCAAAAACGAAGAAGTTAGTGTTGTCTCACGTATATACTGAGAAAATTCCATATCTATATCTGATAGATAGGTTGCATCTATCTCCCCACTAATAGGCGTTTCAAATAAAATTTCTGAAAAGTCGTATTCCCTGGGAGTTTGCTCCTCCACCTGGGAAAAAGTAGTATTCCCTATAAGTTTATTCCTCAGTCTCTTTATGCGTTTTATCTTGCATTATCTGGGAAAAACCTTATTCCTTGCAAGTTTCCTGTTCAGACTCTGTATACGTTTGATACTGCATCGTCTGGGAAATGCCGCATTCCCTGCAAGTTTCCTGCTTATTCTTTTTATCCTTCACCTGTTTTTTGAGAGATTTTAAATTATTGCGTATGAGCAATTCCTTTCTCATAGATATCTTTTCAGTATATTTTAGTTTCTTCCAGCCAATCTTAATTAATTTCATTCTCTCTCGTCTGCTTCCATCTCAAAAAGTTTACTGTGGCGCTTACTTCCGGATATGACGTCACTTACCAACCCGGTACGGTACGCCCTACTCCAGCCCGTAGCGGATATACCTGGAAGGGTAGATAAGGATGATACCCGCTTAGGGTGTATAAGCGGCCGGATATCTATAATCGCTCTCTTGTGCCATTTTGTATCCTGCCTCTCACTTTCTGTGTACCGTTACTTATCCGTGGTTAAGCCGAATAAACATACTTGTGAACGTTTCCAAATTGGTGACCCCGACTTAGACGAATTCTAAAACAAAATTGAGAATAAACAAGAAGATCAATCCGCCTTCCATGGCCTGCATTTTATGCCATGGAACATAAAATTGTGGTTTACCAGAATAGTCATACGCGATTAGCAGCTTAGACGAGGAAAATATTCGCGAAGTGGAGGACGTGATAGGAAACCCACCAGAAGTGGGTAAATACGAATATTTGAAAAACACATTGATCGAACGAGCGTGCTAGTCACAGGAGCAGAAGACACGTCAATTACTCAATCGTGAGGAGATGGGCGACCGCACGCCTTCGAAATATTTACGCCATCTGAGAGAGTTGTCCGGAACAACTGTGCCAGAAAACGCTATGGATGAAACAGTTACCGTCGAATGTACGCGCCATTTTAGTCGCACAAGAGCCCATCGAATTGGACCATGATGTTAGAAATGTCGGAATTATTTAACAACCTCATAACCAGACTGGAGACGTCGTTTATTGGTGACGGACAAGAACAGTGCCATTAGTGCTGAATTTAGGACTGCGCCGAGATTTCATGTGGAATTTCGTCGTAGAAGATGTGAGTAAATCCATAATTGGCGCGGACTTTTTGGATCACTACAAGCTCCTCGTCGATATTTCGAACAAACGCCTCAGTGATTCGACAACCAACCGCACTATCCGAGGAGGCACAATGATGGAAAACACGTAAAGCATCAAAACAGTCAATGGATCATCTTCATACCATCAGTTATTAACGAAGTTCCCTGAAATAATTCGTCCTGTTGGAACACCAGGGAAATCAAGACATGCCATCAGACATTTCATTAATACAACTCCAGGTCCACCAGCCTTCAGCAGACCAAGACGTTTAGCCCCTGACAAATTAGGACGTGGAAAGGCAGAATTTGCGACGTTGATGCGCCTAGGTATCGCGAGTCGCTCAGAGAGTCCGTGGGCGGCCACGCTCCACATGGTGCCAAAGAGTGGAGACCGTGCGGCGATTATAGAGCGCAAAACGCAAGAACCGTCCCTAACAGATACCCAGTGCCACAATTGACGATTTCGCACATTCGCTGCGAGGAAAGACTGTTTTTACGAAATTAGACCTGGTGCGAGCGTACAATCAAATCCGAGTCGCAGAAGAGGACATCCCAAAAACGGCCATTACAACACCCTTTGGCCTTTTTGAATTCCCGTTCATGATGTTCGGACTACGAAACGCAGCTCAGACCTTCCAGCGATTCATGGACGAGGTGCTGCGGAATTTAGATATCTGCTATGTGTACATAGATGACATATTAATTTCGTCGACATCAGAGGAAGAACACCTTCGGTATGTACAAGAAGTTTTTGGGAGACTGAAGGAGTACAGAGAAGTGATAAATAGCGCAAAGTGCGTCTTCGGAAAGCCCTAGGTAACGTTCCTCGGGCACAGCGTCTCCAGCAGCGGCACAATGCCATTACCGGAGAAAGTAGAAGCCATCAGACTATTTCCGCAGACTTTTTCACGGACCACAAACCGATTACTTTCGCATTTCACCAAAAATTGGACAAGTGCTCCCCTAAGCAATTCCGACACATGGAATACATTAGCCAATTTACAACCGACATCCGACACGTGTCCGGAACAGACAATGTCGTCGCGGATGCCCTCTCCAGAGTCGAGGAAGTGGCAGCAGGGATCAATCTAAAAAGCCTGGCAGAATCACAAGCCACGGACCCGGGACTTCAGGAATTTATACGATCAGACAATGGACTAGAACTACAGCGTGTCCGTATTCCCGGGGAAGATGCTTATGTGGTATGCGACACAAAGACATCGACTGCCTACCCTTCGTTACACCCGCGGTTTTCGACTCGCTGCACCTACTGTCACATCCAGGCGTAAATGCATTGGTGAAGCTGGTTACGCAGCGATTCTTGTGGCCCAGATGCAAGTCTGATGTACAAAAGTTAGCACAGGCATGCGTGCAGTGTCAAAAGTGCAAAGTTTCACGACACGTTATCAGTCCAAGACGCACCTTCACGCCCCCGTCAAAGAGGGGGGTACACATCGACATAGTCATCATGCCAGTATCCGAAGGGTACCGCTATTGCTTGACCTGCGTTGATCGGTTTACACGCTGGTCAGAAACGATACCGATGGAGAACCAGGAAGCGACTACCTCTTGCACCTTTTACTTGGGGTGAATCGCCCGCTTCGGAATTCCACTCCGCATCACCACCGACCAAGGCCGGCAAACAAAACAAAATGGTCGAACGTTTACATCGACAATTCAAAGCAGCAATCAAGTGTCACGAGAACGCGAGATGGACGGAGACACTTCCAACAGTCCTCCTGGGCATACGAGCGCCACGCGAGAGAATATAGAAGCTTCAGCAGCAGAGATGGTTTACGGTGAACCTTTGAGACTTCCAGGAGAATTCCAATCCGTCAGTAAACATCCCGAACCCAGCGACGCAGCGGACTATATGAGACATTTAGGAAGCTCCTTTGAAATTTTAAGACCTGCAAACACCGTCACACGGAGAGCGAAAACCGTTTGTTTTTAAAGATCTGGAAATGGCAGAGCATGTATTCGTGCGTCACGACGCCCCGAGGAAACTTTTGGAGGACCCGTATGACGGTCCTGCCTCAACACCGACTTGGAAGTCGCCGTGGAAAAGCGACCACGGCCAGTGTTATCATTATCGACATTACGATCCTGCTTGTCGACAAAAAGTAAAACTACAACTTTAGTCCCAGGAACAACTCGATCGGGTCGAAGAGTGCGATTTGTCGAGAGGTATCAAGCAGGTGGGCCATAAAAATTGTATTGTACAACAACAACGTCGACAAGCTAGGCATCATCCCAAGCTCAACTCGACGATTCTACGTAATTATTTTGCTCCACGGATCAAATTACTAGCAGGGGGTACTGTGGCGCTTACTTCAGCCCGGATATGACGTCACGTACCAACCCGGTACGGTACAATCTACTCCAGCCCGTAGAGGATATACCTGGAAGGGCAGATAAGGATGACACCCTCTCTGTGTACCGTTACTTATCCGTGGTTAAGCCGAATAAACATACTTGTGAACTTCTCCAAATTACTATTTAAAAAGTTTTGCAAACTTATATGGGGGATGCGAAACAAGCCAAAATATTTTTCCACAAGTTACCAAAGATGTGTGAGAATTTGCATTTTTTTGGTGAAACAAGCTTTGCAAATTCTGGCAATTTTTTTTGATTCATTACTGATCCTTTGGTTCCTTGAATGCAGCTTAAAATATACAACAAAGGTATACATTGATAGCATTCATCTTTTATTTTCAATTGATGTTATTGTTGACGATCCATCATCACGAAATGATTTTAAAAAAATGAGGTTTTTATTGCGTTTGAGATGGATATTGCAAATATTGATTCGGTGTTAAATTAAACATTTTCTCAAATATATAAAGATGCGATACATATCTCCAACTTCACATCTGTTTTTGTGAGCATCAGTAGCTTTCTTGTCTTTAGAGAAATAATAAAAGTAAAATATGAGTACAAAATGAAACATGTTTATAAAAATATATGTACATCAAGTGGCGGATTAACAATTATTTTCGGGGATCCCTAAAGTAACTAAAAACAATCATCACAAAGCCTAACATGGATCCTAAACATGTGCCTCAGTGCCTTAATGAATAATGCGTCACTGTGTAATATTATGTAATTACATTAATTATTATTACTTTTTTCAATACATAATATTTCTTTTTTATAATTAGAAAATGTTCAACAAATTATTGAATTTTCAACATTTCTTTATTGACCTCTAAAATTTTTCCAACATTCCCGTACTGTGGTATTACTTATGTCAGTAATTTCTAGATTCGTTGAATCATTGGAAACATTTTCTATGTCTCTATTGCTCATACTTGTGCCTGAAATATAAAAATTCTGAATTAGCTTATATTTTCATAAAATTGATTAATATAGGTAAAAAATTATAAACTTAAAATAACGGATTGTTACATTACCATTTTCATTATATGAACAATTCCTGGGCTCCATTAATCTCACATTTATAATTACATAATTGGATACATTTTGTGTCTCACTATTTCTCACGGTTGTACCTGAAAAATAAATCTGAATTAGCTTATATTATCAAAAACATTATAGTTACATTACCAATTTGATTGTATGATGAATTCATGAAGTTAAGTGAAAAATTTAGACTCTTATTACTTATTATAGTTGTACCTAAAAAAGAAAAAATATTAATTAGTTTATATTAAATTGATTTATATACTAAAAAAATAATAAATTGTTACATTACCATTTTGATTGTATGGAGAATGTCTGTGGTCACTTAAACTTACTCTTCTCACTAAATTCTCATTCGAAACATTTGATCTCGCATTATTTCTCACAGTCTACTCTAAAAAATAAAAATTTATAATCAGCTTATATTTTCCTGAATTTTATTCATGTACTAAAATGCATGATAAAATAAAAATTATTAATTGTTACATTACCATTTTGATCATATGAAGAATTTCTATTCGTCTGAAAAATGCAATTTCTCGTAGAAGTGGAATGAATGAATTACATCATTGGATACACTTAATTTCACTCTACTATCTAAATTCTTGGAAAAAATTGTACTCTCATCACGTCTCACGGTTGTACCTAAAAAAGAAAAAAAATATTAATTAGTTTATATTTTCATTCATAAACTAAAAAAATAAAAATATTCTTTGTTACATTACCATTTTGATTGTATGGAGAATATCTTTGGTCATTTAGTCTTACTCTTCTTGCTAAATTCTCATTGCAAACATTTGGTGTCGCATTATTAGTCTCGGTTGTTCCTGTACATCATATGAAGAATTTCTATTCGCCTGAAAAATGCAATTTCTCGTAGAAGTGGATTGAATGAATGTCGGCCAATGCTCGAGGTCACTTAAGTTCACACGTGTAATTACATCATCACATTCTGTGACTCATTATTGCTCACGGTTGTAACTGAAAAAATCTTAATTAGCTTATATTTTCAAGAAAATCATTGTTACATTACCGATTTGATTGTATGGTGAATTCGTAAGATCAATTAATATCACTCTTCTATCTAAATTCTTGGAAAAAATGGTACTCTCATCACGTCTCAGGGTTGTACCTAAAAAAGAAAAAAATATTAATTAGTTTATATTTTCATTCATAAACTAAAAAAATAAAAAAATTTCATTGTTACATTAGCATTTTGATTGTATGGAGAATATCTTTGGTCATTTAATCTTACTCTTCTTGCTAAATTCTCATTGCAAACATTTGGTGTCGCATTATTTGTCTCGGTTGTTCCTGCACAATAAAATTTCATAATTAGCTTACATTTTCTAGAATTTCATTCACACACTGAAATAAATAATAGAATGAAAATAATTAATTGTTACATTAGAATATTGATCATATGAAGAATTTCTATTCGTCTGAAAAATGCAATTTCTCGTAGAAGTGGATTGAATGAATGTCGGCCAATGCTCGAGGTCACTTAAGTTCACACGTGTAATTACATCATTGGATACATTCTGTGACTCATTATTGCTCACGTTGTAACTGAAAAAATCTTAAATAGCTTATATTTTCAAGAAAATCATTGTTACATTACCGATTTGATTGTATGGTGAATTCGTCACTTAATCTCACTCTTCTATCTAAATTCTTGGAAAAAATGGTACTCTCATCACGTCTCACGGTTGTACCAAAAAAAGAAAAAAATATTAATTAGTTTATATTTTCATTCATAAACTAAAAAAATAAAAATATTTCATTGTTACATTACCATTTTGATTGTATGGAGAATATCTTTGGTCATTTAATCTTACTCTTCTTGCTAAATTCTCATTGCAAACATTTGGTGTCGCATTATTTGTCTCGGTTGTTCCTGAACAATAAAATTTCATAATTAGCTTACATTTTCTAGAATTTCATTCACACTGAAATAAATAATAGAATAAAAATAATTAATTGTTGCATTACCATTTTGATTATATGAAGAATTTCTGTTTGTATCATGGGAAATAAATAATATTTGTTACAAAATAATTGAGCCGTTATTTTAAATCCACTTTGAAAAAAAATATGAGTTAATGATAATTTTAATAAGATATACATATCCTTTTTTATATTTATATTTACTATATCGCAAAAATATTATTTTAGAAAGTAGTATAAGTCCATTTCTAATAATATTAATAGTTAAAAAATTAATCTAATTGCAATTATTATTGATTATAAGGACTTCAGTGTGCACTGCCTTTTAGCGGATATTAGCTAGTGCCTTAAAAAAAGGAATCATTGGAAAAAAATATTAATATTAGAAAATTGTAAATAGGCTGAAAATATGTATTTTTTATTTGGAAAACAAGTAAGCCTATTTGAATGTTTGATAAAAAAAAATATAAAAACAGATTAATTATATCAGTGATTCAAAAAGTGTGGGTCACGAACTTTCCACCGCCGGAGGGTTATGAAACATATTTGGGGATGACAGATTAATCCGGGATGTTTTTCTATACATACCCATTTTTTGGGGTGGCAGATTTTAATTTACTAAAATTACCATTAACTATTTTTTCCTCCAAAAGTGAACTTATCCCACTTAAAAAAAGAACGGCTTATAACTATTGAAAGTAAGTCTATTTGGAGCTACGTTTGATTTCTTTAAAAAATTTGATAATTATTATTGCATAATGAAATGTAACATTATTATAGTGTAAAAAAAACACGAATTGATTCACGTTTGCCAATATGTATTATTAAATCGATTCAAACGCAAACCCTTAAATAGCTCGAAAGTAAATAATTTATAAAATTATAGGTTAAGAAAGTTGGAGGTATCAAAGCAGTATAATGCAGTACATATTTTTATTAAGTCGTCATTAATTTTGTGCAAATTAGAATTATTTATATTCCAGCTATTTCGGTGATGTAATCACGAACAACAGCAATATCAACATAGACTGAATAAGGATCACATTGCTTTGCCCATGAGTAGAAACCAATAAGGGTGTTGTCGTACACCAATGGACCTCCATAATCATCCTAAAACCACAAGAAAATAAATGATATTAATAATAATAACTTAATTTTAAAGTTTGATATTTACATGGCAAACAGTGTTCTTGGCGCAAAGCATACGTTCAGTCATTGTACTCGTCGGATAATGTCTGCGACATTCTTTACGTGTGACAGTAAAAACATCAACAGATTGAAATACAACTTCACCCTCTAAATGAGTTGGACCCCAACCGATACTTTTAGCTGTAACATTAATAGGAGCGACTTGACATCTCCTAGGAATTGCAATCTTCTGAATAGTTTCACTAAACACCAAAGGCTCGGACAACTCCAAAACAGAAAGATTCCTATCCTTGTTGTCGTTATCATTACCCATTTTAAATACTTCCTTAACCTTAACTACAATTCCACCAGAAAGAAGTTCCAAAGATCCAGCACGAACATGGAAAGGTCCAGTACCTTTGTAATCGAAACAAGCAGAGGCGGCAACGGCGTAATTTGAACTAATTATGGTAGCACTGCAGATGTGCCTGCCAAAATACTCAACTGATAAAAGGTATGGGTAATTCTTAATACTTGATTCTAAATTGCCATCATTCCTTTCTCCTAGCGAGAAGACAGCAGCTATAGTTGATTGAAAAAAACATAGCTATTAATACGGATTAAAATCTAATTCTTAATAGCTTACCTTGAGATGCTGAAACAGCAAGAGCGAACACCACAAACTTCAACATATTAGTTGTAATGTAGGTGCGTGTTACAAATCACAGTTGCTTTTATAACCAATTATCAACTGATTACCGTGATAAAATCAAAAAGAAGTAATTGATAAACTTATATTTATTACGATTAAATTTTGTTTTTTTTCGCTCATTGTTTCACGAACACAAATATACCATGGCGATCGGAAATAATCGTCAAAATATGCATTTCTAGCCTTATATTAGTCTTATAAAACTATTTTGTGTAATTTGAAAGATTAATATTAATGTTTTATAATGTGGTCAACAAAATAATTGTTATATTATTGAGTTTGACGACATATAAATTTAATTTGCGGAACATGTTTGGAGTACTTGCATATACGAGTTTGCGATAATATTTAGTGCATGTCATCAGACAGACTGATTTAATCGCAAAATGATTATACACAAAGACTCAAATCTATTGTAGACTGTCTATCTGTTGACAAAACTATGTGAAAGTCATGTAATTTAAGTTATTTTTATTCTAATCAAATAGAAATACTCAATATTATATTAACACAGAATATTAAGAAAGAAAGGTAACTTCATTGTATTATTTAATGTATATATAAAAATGAATAGTTAAATTGGGTGTCCCACATAAACGCCGGATTTAAATTTGGAAACTCTAAAAATTTCATGTGTCATCTGATATACTAAATATGGAATGATTTTTGAAATATTAATAACATTATTATTACTAATTTTAAAATGCATAACGTTATGCAGTTATTAAACTTTGTGGAATTTATAAAATGAGGAAACTGGTTCGATTATGGCAGTTCCTATTCAATGATTGACAATTTGCAATTGTCACATATATATTTACATTATAGAATGTTAATTTTCAAAATTGTTATTGCACCATTGATTCATCACACTTTTCAATTTCTGAAATCCAATCCATTTTTTAATTGTCCCTTCTCATCTGAACTTTCAATAGTCACATGACGAAACCATTATCATAATATTTCTAATGAAATTCTCGAAAAGTCAAAATAATAATTATTTTGATCCATTTTTATATTTATATAAAAAGTATTATTGGAAAAAGAAAGAACAATTTTTTTAAGAAGTAGTCTCATAGTCCCGCTTCTATCAGTCCAGATTTCCGCACTATAGTAAATCCGGACTAATCGTAGTTTGACAGTGAAAATTATAAAACAAACAAAATTTGAGTTCAGCAAAATAAAAATACATTCTAAAAAATAGTCAGGTTCTCTTTGTGCGGTTTATTTTTATGCGATTTTAATGTCCTCAATTATTCCGGTTTCAAACATACCAGAATATTGACGGAAGCGGACTATGCGAGGTATTGAAGTAAATAATTCGCATTGTCAAAATACTATGAATTTTTTTAAATAGTATTTCTGTCAAGAGGTTATTTATATTCATTTTATGCTAAGAAATATTCAGTTCGACTCAGAACACGGAGCAGTACAGACATGTTCGATAGCAGCTTGTGATAAGAAATATTTATGTTTTTGGCTTTGTTTGGAATCGGGTGTATGCTGTGTAGTCGCAATTCATACTGGTGACCATGCAGCAGGAATCAGAAGGCACCGACTCATCATCTTGCCCTTCGGAGGCCACGGGTTCCGGTTGGGAGGAAGGAAAGCGGAAGCGTGGAAGACCGAAGAAAGAATTCGCAAAAAAAACTACTACAAAGAAAACCAAAGATGGCAGTGCCGAGGTCTTCAAAATGCTACAAACACCTGCTATCTCAACGGATAAGTATTTTGCAAACAAAAAATCTTTGAACACTTTCAAGATAAACGTGCGCGAGGCGATATCGAGATCGCAACTATCGAAATTGTGGTCGAGGGGGACCGGCAACAGAAACGATGATATTCTGAAAACGAAGACAGGCTTCATTTTGAAGTCTGACAACCCTAAGGCTGTGGTCGTTGCGTATCTGACCGATATGCGGGATTGTGGCCACATCTCGTCCTTCGTTGAGTGCGTTCCTCCGAAGGAGCCAAAAAAACACGGCCACAACGCGTCTCTGTCTTGTGTCCTCACAAGGATGGACCTGGACATTACCGATGCTGAAATCAGCGAGCATTTCAAGTCATCTGCAAGACCTACATCACCTACAAGATGCGCATCATTACCGGGTATGCGTCTTCCTTCCAGAGGACTTGTTCTACCGAGAGCATTCCACCGCCTCCTATACCTGTGCCTTGCGCCAGGTGTCAACAATTCACTCACGCAACGGACGCATGTCCGAACAAGACCAAGTGCTCTAAATGCCAGGGGCAACATCCGACAAATCGATGCCACTTCCCCCCCGATGGGGGGAGGATTATGCTGCATGGTCTTCTAAATGTCCGAAAAGGCCAACAAAACCAATACCGGGTATACCTAACATCAAAGTAAGGCGACTCAATAACAACAGAATCCACAGGCTATTACATGACCACATAATTAACATTTATATCAACAAATTAAACTCGCCGAATAATGCAGAAAATCGCGCAGAGTTACTGCAGCGCTTGAGAAAACGATTCATTAAGAACTTCAATGTTGAGACACACGTCTGCTTTTCGGAACATCATGCTTATGTTTTAATGTTCGATGTGGATGACCGAGAGCGGGAGTCTCCTACGGATGTGAATCAGGGGACGGCCGGATCTTTCATCAGGAAGGATGGATAGTCCAACAAATTTAGCATTCTTAAGCCTGATGATGCTTTATGATGTTTATAATTTCATATTTTTTATATTTTTTTATATATGTACTTTCACATTTATTAAACACATTATGTAAAAATTGTTTTTGAAGTATAATTTCAATTTATTTATTTAGATACCAGTGGTTTCGGTGATGTAATCACGCAAAGCAGAGACACGAGAGTAGACACCTGGATGAGATGGCCTTGCGCATCCGTAACCCCACGAAACAATTCCGATTAATTTCTTATCCAACGAAACCAATGGACCACCAGAATCGCCCTATATTAAACGTATTATGTAATTTAATTCGTGATTTGTAAGAAATATATTATTGTGTACCTGACAAGCATCCTTTTTACCTCCTACTCCAGCACATACCATGCGATCAGTGATTGCACTAGATCCATAAGCATCACGGCATTCCCTTTGACCAATGGTGTTAACAGTGACCACCTGAAGTTTAGTAGAAAGATAACCACCTTCAGTGGTGGCTCCCCAACCGGTGCAGTTTACTTTAATACCAATAGCAACATTTTCATTTTGATTGGGAAGATCAATCTTCTTGATTTTAGAACCAAAAGATAAGGGTTTGGCAAGCTCCAAGACAGAGATATCATAATCGACGGTCGTCGCGTTGTATTTAGGATTTTGATGGATTGCCTTCACATTGATCACAGTACCACCAGAGTTGAGGGCAGCTGAACCAGCGCGAATGCTCAAAGAGGATGCTTCTGAACCGCTGGTGCAGTGAGCTGCAGTCACAGCATAATACTCATCAATGATTGATGCTCCGCAGATGTGATTACCGTTGAACAGAAGAGACAGCTGGTATGGATATTGCTGAATGGTGGCATCTTCACCGCCTACGATTCTTCCATTAAGGCGCGGAAGGATTTGGGTGGTGGCTAATGCAAAATGTAAGTGGTTCGGTTACGTAATTTGAATGATTATCGAAGAACACTCACCGTGACATGCCGAGATTGCGAACGCGAAAACCAAAAACTTGAACATGTTTACACGATCTGCTCTGATTCTACATATCGCACTCTCTATTTATATTCTGTAATATGTGCTATTATCTAACGATTGCTAAGATAATATCAACTAACCAATTGATAATGCCGTATTAAATGCAATTAAATAAAATTGAATTTAATTGCATTAGAAAATTCTCAGCTACGTTATATTATCTAAAAGAAAACACTTAAATTTTGACTTGGAAATATTATCTAAATTATTTAATTATTACTTAATGTTTGGTAAATTTCAATTATAAAAAATGCCTTTTGATTTATCTATTGTAATTATATTTATAGAAAACAAAAATGATGTAATATGTAACTAGAGTTTGAATATTTAGGTGAATTGTTGCTAAATGTTAGTTCCAGTGTGGAAAGCAGGCACAAAAAATGATAAATATAGTTAAAAATCGATGAAAATTCGTGTGGTATGAGTTAGTGTTTAACTTGTAAATCCAGATTTAGAAGTCTATGCTAGGATTTCCCAACTTCTAAGCGTATGTTCTTATAAAATGGAACACATTTGTTATAGTAACAACACTTTTCAGCATAAAATAATCAAAATAATTATACAAAATAATTCAACAATATATAGTGGAACCACAGCTCACAACGAATTCGAAACTTTTATTTTGAAATTTTCTATACTTGATATATGAGAAACACATATTTATTATTAGAGTCGTCAGACATTATAATGAAATTTTAAGAATTACTTAATATCGTATATTTGTCTCCAAATGAAGGAGCAATGAGTTCTTCTTCTTGCTATCGGAGACAAAGCAACTCTAAAATTAGCGCGTCAGTTGACAACTTATCAGTTATCCTGATGTTATTTATTTTGTTGAGTTGTATAATCATCTCATTGGTCATGTCCTTGAGGATTATGGGAAGGAGTTCTTCATAAATCTTATAGTATATTCCTGGTTTTCCTTATGAAACTTAATATGATGCTGTACATCATCATTTGTCTGAGTTGATAACAACTTCCCTCTTTGTGATGAATGTAGATTTTTTGCAGCATGCTACTGTGTCTGTCTCCCAAAATGATTTAAAATATCTGATAACAGAAATATAATTATCTTTTCATTCTATTGTTGCTGTTTTGTTCAGTAGTTCGATAAAGTTAGATGCAGACAAGTAGATACAGAAATCTCTGTAAATTAGTGGTCCATATTTTGCGAAAGTGAACTAAATTTGATGCAAATTCAAATAATTTTTAAATGATTCTATATAATCTTCAATTCTATTATATTTTGTTCAATTATGTAATGAATTTAGGTTAGTCTCCTATAATTGTTAAATATATCAACAAGCAATACTTGAACCAAATTACACAATGATTGGGAAAACTTACAAAGATTGTGTATCGCATTAGCTATGCATGTATAAATAGTTTTTGTTCTCTTTTAATGAAGAGTATAAAATGTGTTTAAATTATTGAACTTCTAAAAGATATCAAATAATAAGTATAGTTATTCGTATAATTAATTCAAGAGATATTTTTAGATACCAGTAATATTGGTGATGTAATCACGAAGGTTGGAAACGCTAACGATAATTGATGGTTGAGGTGGAAGGGTGCATCCGTAATTCCAGGAAACGATACCAACGAGTTTTCCACCATATACCAATGGGCCACCAGAGTCACACTAAAAAAACAAATTCATTATTTATCACGTTTCCAAAATTTAAAATAATTATCTTACTTTGCACACATTCCTGCCTTCTTTATCGTCAACTCTAGCACAGAACATACGGTCAGTGATTTCAATATATCTATGTCTATTTCTACATTCTTCCATGGAAATCACTTCAAATATGACGGCTTGAAGATGGCGTGGAATAGAACTATAGGCGTCGGTGTAACCCCAACCGGTGATTACAACATTAGCTCCGACGATGGGGGCTTCGCCCTTCATTGGCAAAGCCAACTTTTTGATTCTGCTTCCGAATGGTAATGGACTGGCAAGTTCCAGAACTGAGATATCGTAGTCCCGAGAGTTAGGTTGGAATTCTGGATGTGAGAAATTCTTTTTGACGTAGATCATTATTCCACCGGTCATATGATCCGATGATCCAGCGCGGATGGTGAAGGTGTAAGGCGAAAATCCGACGGTGCAGTGCGCAGCGGTGATAATGTACTTGCTGCTGATGATTGAACCGCCGCAGATGATTCGGCCAAAGCGCATAACAGATACGTGGTATGGGTATTGTTCGATACGAGGAAAGATATGTCGAGTAGCTAAGATATTAATAACCAAATAAATGAAGAATAAGTGAGTAATTCACTTATTTCTTACCAAAAGCTACAGATACGGCGAGTGCTAATACAACAAACTTCATCATGTTTTCTTCTATGTTTGATTCAGAATATGCTTTTCAATTTATACTAGCCATTATCACGAAATAAAGGTATACGAAAAATTATTTACCTATAAATAGAACAAATGGCAACAAATTATACATCAATTTTAACGACGTTCAAACATATTTAGTAATAAAAAAAAATCGAAATTCTATACTGACAATAAAAATATAACAATAATAATAATTAATTGCAACAATAAAGTACGAAATAAAAAAAAACTCAATAATATCTACTACTAGTAAATGTGTTTCCTAACTTAGCTTCCGTGGACTAGAACGCAGTGTTTATTGATATACAGAGCATGCTAGTTCATTTCTTTATATGAAGATAATCATTTTCGTGGTAATTGCTTGATATTTACTTTCTTTGCATTAGGTGTCTGAATTCGTTTAACTCTATTTTTAGTATACTGTTTCACCACAATCACTACCTTTGTGTTCAAATTATCATTTATTAAGGACCAAAGAAAGGATGAAGGTAGACTGACCGCTGAGGCTAACTGCAATTGTTTAATTGAAAATTTGCTTCCTCCCGTCTAATGAAAAAGAGATTATTGTCAAGAGCCCGATGCCCGCACCAATATTAAGTAAACCCTTAACATAATATTTCTAATGAAATAATTTAGTCGAAAGGTATTTTGTCCTTTTCTGCTGATTAATTGTATTTATATTTATACAAAATATTGCTAGGAAACTAATGAACAAAAGTTATAAGATGTACTTAGTACTGTGTTATAAATTGTTAATACTGTAATCCCGGATTCCCGTACTATAGTATATACAGATAGATCGTAGTCTCAAATTTAAATTACTAAACAAACTAAATTTTATAAAAATACAAGTTTCTATTCGTGTATATACCACCGAAGTATTGCTGCAACGATCCTTCCATTGAAGCGTCGAAGGATTTAGGTAATTGTTATTGCAAAATGTAAGTAGTTCGATTATGTAACTTGAATGATTATCGAAGAATAGTCGAATACAAAAACCAAAAACTTGAACATTTTTAAACTATCTGTTTTGATTCTTCAAATCGTACTCTCTATTTATATTGTGTAATATGTGCTATTATCTAACGATTGCTAAGATAATACGAACTAACCTATTGATAGTGCTGTATTAAATTCAATTAAATAAAATATTGTTTAATTGCACTCGAGGGTCATTAATAGCCGAATGGTTGAGTCCTAAATGAAGTCTGCACAATATAGCTTCATTCTTAATGACGAATGAATTAAAGCATGCCCAATTGTATTCAAATACTAGACCCTTTTACATCTGCTATCAGAATTGTATTTAGCTTCCCATTACGCCCCTTCTGTGCTGTTCAACAGTCTGGTGAAGTCGAATGCACTGATGCTCGAATGCTACCAAAGCGAACTTAATTTGATCAAATAATTTTCAAATATATTAAATTTATTTGTTCAATTATTTATTGAATTTAGGTTAATCTCCTCTAATTCTTAAATATATCAACAAGTAGTACTTAAACAAAATTGTGATATAAGGATTGCGAAATAATAACAAATATTGTGTATCACATTAGCCAAGCATCAAAAAAATAGATTTTCTTCTCTTTTATTGAATAGTATTAACGGTGTTCAAATTATTGAATTGTTTTGGGCGTAGATTGAGCGGTTGAATTAACCCAAGTTTCAATATGGGAACAAGCCTCGCTTTCGTAGCTAACTTCTGGAAGTATAGTATTGCCACTTCTTACATATATTATTGCACTTAAACATCAACTTTTAATAGATATTTCTCAGTACGTGACTGGCATATGAGTCTAGTGGACCGTCAAGTTGAACATGCGCCGCCCGCCTCTGCTAGGTTGTTGCGCTGGTAGAATTAGAAGAAGAATATATATTCATTAAGATGAATATTTAGTTATTCGTATAATTCATTCAAGAACAGATATATTTTCGGATTTAGATACCAGCGGTCTGAGTGATGTAATCGCGAAAATTGGAAACGCGAGTGTAAACTCCTGGATGGGATGGACGGGCGCATCCATGACCACAGGAAACGATACCAACGAGTTTTCCATCAGAGACCAATGGGCCACCAGAGTCACCCTAAAAATAAGCAAATAATTGCTAATCATGTAATTAAAATTTGAAATAATTTTCTTACTTGGCAAGAATCATTGCCACCTCCAACTCCAGCGCAGATCATACGGTCAGTGATTTTACCAACTCCATAAGCATTGATACATTCTTCCGTGGAAATAATCTTAAGGGTGACGACTTGAAGTTGATCTGAAAAAGAACCACCTTCGTTGGTGTGACCCCAGCCGGTGCAGATGGCATCAGCTCCTACAGTGGCGGCTTCGTCGTTATTTGGTAAAGAAACTGCTTGGATTCCGCTTCCGAAGGGCAATGGACTGTCAAGTTCCAAAACTGAGATATCGTAGTCCATGGTGTCAGAGTTGAATTTTGGATGTGGGAGAATTTTTTTGACGGCGATGTTGACTCCACCGGAGTTAAGGTTCGATGATCCGGCATTAATGCTGAAGGAGGAATATGAAAATCCGTTGGTGCAGTGAGCAGCGGTGACAACGTATTTGCTGCTAACAATAGAACCGCCGCAAACATGTTCACCAAGGAACTGAAGAGACACTTGGTATTGGTATTGTTCGATGGTTGCGTTCTCTCCACCGACGATCCTTCCATCCAAACGAGGAAGTATTTGTGGAATAGCTAAGACATTAATAACCAAATAAATAAATGAAGAATAAGTGACTAATTGATTGTTTTCTTACCAGAAGCTACAGCTACGACGAGTATTAATACAACAAACTTGATCATGTTTTCTTCTATGACTGATCCACAATATGCCGTTCAATTTATAATAGCCATTGTCACGAAATACAGGCGATAACAAAAAAAAAACTTAAATTGATTTACCTATAAATAGATTTTGGCAACAAATTATACATCAATTTTAATTACGTTCAATCATAATTAATAATAAAAAATATCGAAATTCTATACTGACAATAAAAATACAACAATAATAATATTTATTACAACAATAAAGTAACTCAATCTAAACTAATAGAAAAAAACTCTATACAATAATAATAATAACATTTATTGCAACAAACAAAATACAAAATTAAAAAAAATGGACTAAATACATTAATAAAAATTTAATTCAAGTGCTGCAAAGGGCTTCTGCCTGTAATAATTAATATATAATAAAATAATAATAATTAATGTTTATACATAACAATAATATATATGAAAATTATTTATTACTATATACAGTAGTACCTCAACATACGAGTTTAATTTGTTCTGTAACCTTGCTCGTATGTCAAATTGCTCGTATCTCAAAGCAATTTTCTCCATTGAAATTAATTGAAATGCCATTAATCCGTTCCAGCTCCCAAAACACCACCTCAGTTATTTTTGTTAAGTGTTTTTGAATAAGAAACATTATGTATGTAAGTCCTATTCGGCATCATTTTCCTGAAAAGCCCTGTCTCGTCACAGTTGAAGACTTTCTGGGGGATGTATCCTTTGGCTTCTATAAGTTCGGAAAACGTTTTGATGTAAACCTCAGCTGCCTTCACATCCGATCTTTCTTTTCCTAAAGTTGTTAAACGAGTCTTCCGATTGCTTGTTTGTGGAAGTATGTGGGATCTGCTTCAGCAAATCACCATATATGATGCTTTGTGTTAAGGTTCTTCCTTGAAGTTGCTTCTCTGTCACTCACACCATCAGTAGTTTCTCCATCTTTTCATGGAGAGATGTCCGGAGCTTAGAAATTATTGTAACGCCCTTAGCTGACGTTATACACTTTATCAACTCCTTTTGTTTAAGCACAGTACATATCATGGATGTGCTACGCCCGTACATCCTCGCCGAGTCAACTACTCGCACACATTGCTCATGTTTTTCTATGAATTCACGCTTTAATTCAATAGACATCATCTTCTTCTTCGGACCCATGGTTATAAAAATAAATGTGATAATGTTTTGTAAATGTACAAAAAGCAAAAAGCGCGAACCCAACTTATCAAAATGCTTCGAAAACGTGGGAAACAAGCACACAGACTGAGGTCTAGTCTGAGGTGGAAGAAACTGTTAGACGCTGCACACGCCCCAACATGCGCCCCGGTGTAGTGTGCGATTCCTCGTATGTCAAATCTTGCTCTCATCTCAAAGCAAAATATTGCTCGCTGGGTTCAAAACACTCGTATATTAGGGCATTCGTATATTGAGGTACCACTGTATCTATTTAAATGATATGTGATAAACTGTTGCGGCTACCTCCTCTCTTTACCTTAAAATGGGATGACTGCAGAATGATAGAACACAAATACAGCAAATTAATCAAGGTATAGCACAAACTGAAACAAATTTAATATCAGCAAAGTGTTGCGCCGGTCCATATATGTTACAGCAAAAAACATTAATGTCGACATACTAGGTTTTTGTGAACCAAACAAAATAATATGCAGTGCACCATGGTACCGCAACGAAGTTGCTGAGGACGATCAGTGAATAACAAAGTGGAGACAAAAAATAGATATGTATGGATAAATACAAAAAATTGAACCAAATGCAATTCAATTCTCACAAATATCGCAGATGACGTAAGGAGACAAATAGGACAGATTATAATATAGGATAGAATGGGGTGGGACGCGTATGGATGCAACGGCAGGCATGAAACGTAAATCTGATCTAGGGCCTGCAAGTCTGGTCGACAGGGGAATGATTTTAGTGTGTAGGAATCGCACAGTACCACGGTTCCGTTTCATTGTCCATTTAAATTTATTTCTTCAATTAATAAATTAATTTAGGTTAATCTCCTCTAATTGTTAAATATGTCAATAAACAGTACTTAAACAAAACTTGAGAAATAATAACAAATATTATGTATCACAAGAAAAGATAGTTGGTATGGGTATTGTTCGATGGTTGTTTTCTTTCCACCGACGATCCTTCCAGCCAAGCATCTATAAATAGTTTTTTTTTTCTCCTTTTTCTCTTTTTTTGAACAGTATGAAAGGTTTTCGAATTATTGAACTTTTAATAGATTTTCATTAAGAAGTATATTTAGTTATTCGTATAATTTATTCAAAGGAGATATATTTTCGGATTTAGATACCAGCGGTCTGGGTGATGTATTCGCGAAGGTTGGAAACGCGAGAGTAAACTCCTGGATGAGATGGACGAGCGCATCCGTAACCCCAGGAAACGATACCAACGAGTTTTCCACCAGAGACCAATGGACCACCAGAGTCACCCTAAAAATACAAATTAATTGTTAATCACGTAACCAAAATTTGATATAATCATCTTACTTGGCAGGCATCCTTGCCACCTCCAACTCCAGCGCAGATCATACGGTCAGTGATTTCACCAACTCCATAAGCATCGCTACATTCCTTGGTGGAAACTACCTTAACGGTAACGGTTTGAAGTTTGGATGGAAGAGAACCTCCTTCGCTGGTGGTACCCCAGCCGGTGCAGATAGCATCAGCTCCTACAGTGGCGGCTTCACCGTTCTTTGGCAAAGAAACTGTTTGGATTCCGCTTCCGAAGGACAATGGGCTGACGAGTTCCATAACGGAGATATCGTAGTCGATGGTTCTAGAGTTATATTTTGGATTTTGGTGGATCTTCTTGACGGCGATGACAACTCCACCGGAGTTACGGATCGATGATCCAGCGCGGATGCTCAAGGAGGAAGCCGAAGATCCATCGGTGCAGTGAGCAGCGGTGACAACGTACTTGTTGCTGATGATGGAAGCGCCGCAGATGTGGCTTCCGTAGTACTGAAGAGATAGTTGGTATGGGTATTGTTCGATGGTTGTTTCCTTTCCACCGACGATCCTTCCATCCAAACGAGGAAGCATTTTTGGTGTAGCTAAGACATTAATTACCAATAAATAAATGAAGAATAACTAATTCATTGATTGATTTCTTACCAGAAGCTACAGCCACAGCGAGTGCTAATACAACGAACTTGATCATGTTTGCTTCTATGTCTGATCCACAATTTGCCGTTCAATTTATACTAGCCATTATCACGGAATCCAGACGATAACAAACAAAAAAAACAAGTTTACGGAAATTGATTTACCTAATACTCACTTATAAATAGAATGTGGCAACAAATGATTGATACATCAACAAGGTTCAATCATATTTATTAATAAAAAATCGAAATTCTTTACTGACAATATATGTTTTTTTGTAAATATTTATATAAAAATTATAAATTTAAAACCAATATTTTATTTATTTAAAATTTAATAACAATATGATAGCTTTCTATTATTTTTATTAAAATCAAATATTTTTTTATTGACCAAAAGAAATGAAACTATGCTAATCAATCTAATCAATTTTTGTAAAAGTTTATATTACATATAAATTAAATTATTATTTTGTAATTTTTAATATTGTAATATTCTATGAATTTATCAATTATTAATGTCATATGAGTGAAAGGAACTTTTATAAAGCAAGGATAATGTATACTAATTTATGAATTTTCATTAGTAATTACAATATTTATAAGATATCTTATGTTAAGTCTACTGGAATTAAGTTATCTTTACTAACTTTAAGTAACATAACATAAATTAAGTCATAATTAAGTCATAGTATGATAACTCTGCTGAAATGAAGTCATCTTAAATTAAGTTCACTTAATTTAGTCATCTTAAGTTAAGTTTACTTAACTTCTTCTTTAATTAAGAATACAGTATCATACACAAGTATTTTTGTTATCTATCTATACAAGTATTAAATATATATTTAGTCAATCCTACATGTCTTTTTCTGTATATGTTGCTTAACTAATGTAAATAATGTGTTTTTTATAATATATATTTTTATATTATATATAACTCAATTCTACTAATTTTTATACCATTTATTTTAATTAATATTAATAAACATTTTTTATATATACAAAGTTATGAAACTTGAATTAAAATACATGTAATTTTTAAACTACTATAATAGGAATATTAATAAGTGGAATAATACAGACAAATGTGTTAAGGTGGGTTCAAAATTTCCATGTCAATTAAGAAATTGATAATAATAGTGGTCATTAATATATTTCTCATTAATTACATTAAAACTACCTATAGCTTAATTTACACTAGTATAAATAAATGGACATGGCTGTTGATAGCCAGTCGAAAATCCAAAATGATTGGGTTCGTTATAGCAAGTTTCGCTTTGATCCAAGGTTACGTATTTTTATTCACTAATTGTATTATATTTAACATTTACATTCTTCAGTGAGCCAAGGCGCCTTTCTGGATGACAAAATCGTGGGCGGTGAGCAGGTTTCAATTGACACCTTTCCCTATCAAGTTTCGCTCCAATACTACGGTAAACATATTTGCGGCGGAACGATTCTTAATCCTCAACACATTGTCACAGCTGCTCACTGCACCAATGGGTAAAATTTAAACCATTAAATTATTTCCTTTAATTTATCCTCATTAATTTCAGATTGAGAGCAAGGTACTTCACAGTTCGGGCAGGTTCATCAGAACACGTCCGCGGCGGCCAATTAGTGCAAGTTGATAGAATCCATCAACATCCTTTGTACAATACCCAACCACTAGATTATGACGTTACGGTGTTGAAATTGAAAAAACCATTAATAATGGGCAACGGAGTAATGGCTGTGAATTTGGTACCGGCTGATACGGCCTTGACGCCTGGAACGGTAGGATTCATATCGGGTTGGGGTTACCAGCAAGAAGGAGGTCAAGTATCGGATAGATTGTACGCAGTTGGAGTACCAATTATTGATAAGGATTCATGCAGGAAAATTTATGGTAATACTAATAATGTGATCACGGAGAGGATGATTTGCGCCGGGTATAATGAAGGAGGGAAGGATTCGTGCCAGGTAATTAGAAGAATGATATTTTCAATTTATTTAGTTTAATTTTGGAATTATTTTAGGGCGACTCTGGAGGACCTTTTGTTGCTAATGGTAATTTAATAGGTATAGTCTCTTGGGGCTACGGCTGCGCCAGAGTTGGCATTCCAGGTGTTTATACCAACGTTGCAGATGAAAACATTTCGAGGTTTATCCGTTTATTGGCTAATTTTTAACGTTGCCAATATAAATAAATACGATTATGAAAAATGAATTAATTTTGTTGTTTATTACCCTTCAGTATATGATTAGTGGAAATATAGTAGAATCTTTAAAATTGTCTATATGGCACAAAAAGTTGTTGTTATTAAATTAAAAAATAATTAAATAATGTTGTAGTTTTTTCTCATTAATTTCTTATTTTTCTGACCATTTCGGACGATTAGGAAAATTTTCCTACCGTCGGATAGTAAGACGCAATCCAATCAAGTTTCTGTCCAAAACTAAGAACAGCATATTTGTGGTGGAGTGATCTCAAGACATCATCACAGCTGGTCACTGCACCTATGGGTAATAATTTCAACCAATCATCTAATTTAGTTGTTGCTGCATTTAACTCTAATTAATTGTAATTTACTTCAGAATGAATGTAGTTTTTCAAAGTTCGAACTGGTTCATCGGCGCACGCCAGGGGCGGTCAATTAGTGGAAATTAAAAGTTACGAAAAAATATGCAGATGTTGCTGTGATGAAACTTAAAAGTCTATTAACAATTAAAAACCGCAAAATGGCTCTGAAATTAATACATTTGGATACAGTTTTGAACGTTGAAAATTTTGCAGTTAATTTTTTGTTGGGGTCATCAGAAAGAAAATGGTCAAGCATCGGATAAATTGGGTGTAGTTTCTTTAATGATCTACGAAAGGTTTGCATGTAAAAAGATTATTATTAAAATATATGGAAATATGATATGAAATATAAAAAGGATTCGTGTCAGTTATTAAGATGTTTCTTTTAATTATGTTAATATTTTGGAGCAACTCTGGAGGTCTTTTTGGTCTTAGTGGTTATTTAGTAGGCAATGCCTCATTATTTATAGAAGTGTTTATATTTGGCGTTAAATTCATGTTTAAAATTGTGAATATAAATAAATAATTATGAAATATTAAAATATTGTCTGCTGCGCAACCTTGACATTATGCTCCAGATTTACGGTCGATAATCCCGAACGCAAGCGCTGTTCCAGTTGTTGCGCCGCCTATGTTTGGAGAAGAGCGTCCGACTGTGTTGAAACCAAATCCTTTTTATCCTATCTTTCTGTTTAAAGTATAATTTTGTTTGTTCATTGTCCGCCCAGATGTGCTTGTGAATTATGTGCGGTTTTGTAAATATGTGATCACATATTTACACTGTTTTCGAAAGCCTCAAATGGTGCAGGTAATTGTAATCGTCGTTATCGATCCACTTGGAAGGTTCACAAAGGTCCTGTTTGTTTTTCTAGAGATGCCGTATTTTAAATTTGAGTGTGACGGCGGTTATCGTTCTATCTATTTACAATGTCCTTCTGACAGTGAAGTTGATGTACAACAAAGATGACTGTCCGCACGTGAAGATCCAGCATGTCGTGTCACAGTCTTCGGCGCCTCCAAAACCTCCCTGCAATAGCCAAGTCAACGACATCAGCACGGACACAGTGTTTTCCAAATTGGATCTAAAATTAGGACGTTGGGATAACAAATTGATTATAAAATATTTCGATAACTTCTTGGTTGGTGATAGATACTCGCAGCTTAACGAGGATTTTACAGTATGTTTGGCTACGCAAAGTTCCATAGAGAAATTGAGCTCTTTGGTGGAGGTGTCCAGTACTTGGCACGGCGCCATTTCCACTGCAGTTTACGCAGCAGGTGACGACGAGCTCAACCTAATCCTGCTCTACCTAATCTATCTGCGGCAATGCTTTGTAAATATCAAAAACAGGGTCAGTTTTCACTTAGCCGTGCCTAAAGGTCGGATGCCTAAATCCATACAAGTAGACTTAGCCAGCCTCGCGCAGATGGACTGCAATAGACCAGACGTAACACTCCAGCAGTTGCTTAAAAGACGTTCTGCAATTACAGCCAAATGGCGCATCAAAAATCCTTATCCTCAGAATCACCTTCGAAATCTAGCAAGAAAGAATTGCCACAGTGGTCACGTTTTTCTTACAGACGTTGACATAGTACCCAGCGATTTGCTGGCCGAGAAGCTGGATGGTTTTTTGAAGAAGGCGTCCTGCACGAAGCTTTGCGCTTATGTCATTCCTACTTATGAATTAGATAATCGCATTCGGTTTCCGCCGAACAAAACGGAACTCGTCCGACTTGCCAGTAAAGGTCTGGCTCGTCCTTTTCACCACAAAGTCTTCATCTACAATCAATTCGCTACAAATTTCTCGAAGTAAGTTTTTTTACAGGATCTTTTTTTTTTGATACTAAATTGAAATGGTTTTTAAGGTGGCAGACCGGCGCTAATGAGGAGAGCCAGGAAGTCCACATCAGCCATCCGGTCACAAACTTTGAATTCCTCTATGAGCCCTTCTACGTGGCTCCGGATACTGCTCCACCTCACGACGAAAGATTCATAGGATACGGATACACCAGAAACACACAGGTATTTTTTTTTGCCACCCCAAAAGAAAAAATGACTTACGTGATTGGAATACTCAAAATAAAAATGGAAACAGTTAACACAGAAAATAGATGAAAAGATAAAACAATTGATCTTTCAAGATATACGAGAACATTTTGTTTTATATCACAATTTAATGATCTTCTTGATATTAGTGAATTTTGGATAAATAATTTGTAACATGAAAAATTGATATAATAACAAATAATAATTAGAAATTAATTGATACGATAAAGACTTAAGCGTTTTTTAATTAACACAATTATTTTGAAAAAAATAACATATTTTCTTGGAAAATAATGGTAATTATATAGTCGATTAGTCTCAAAGAAGTAAATCAATGTCTTTCGTGTTTTTGATCATTTTTACGATTTTATAATCAAATTCAATATTATTTTTTTTACATTGAAAATTATTGATATTATTTCTTCAAAATTTTTATAGTAATATAAGTCAATAATTAAATTGAAAAATATATAGTTTCAATTACAAACAGCTTTTTTTAATAAATTTAATACAAATTTTGATCATTTAATTTAAAGAATACATATTTTTCATCATTCATTTAGGATCAATCGAAAACTTAGGTCATTTTCAATGGAGCGATAGGTAAATAATGTATTTATTCGTAAAGAATATCAAAGAATTTTTGATAATATTTTGTAATCAAAATAGTGTTCAAACTAATTTAATCCAATTAATATTACCAATATAATCTTTCATTCGTACTCGACATTTTCGAGACACTCTTAGGTCTTATCAACACATTTCTCAATTCTACGCGCACGCAACATTTGTATATAAAAATAACTGTAGAGAGAAATAAATCATTTTAATCTCGGATTATCCGACAGTCAAAAACGAAATCAAACAGACGGTGCTATTTTTAGAACAGCAATAAAATAATTACAAATCAAACAATGTTATTTCCTAATCAAGCGTTATCTCAGAAAATCCTCTATTAACTTATATTTATAGAAAACATAAAAATACTATGGTTTTATTCAATAAACAGTCAACAAATTAAAATCACATTTTAAAGATTTCTTTCTTATTTATTTAATTAAGGTTTGAAATTTTTGACTTCGTTATCAGAGGTAACGTTAACCGAGGTATTACTCTAATTATAACTAATGTAATATCTATAGAAAATACTAAAATTTAAATAAATATATAAGGATAGTTGTAATTATTAACAACTATTAAAAATGTACTATATTTTTATTATTTTGTAGGTATATGAAATGTACGTGGCTGGATACGAATTTTTAGTTTTATCACCAATATTCACCGTGCATTGGGGTTTGCAAGTGAAAAGAAGTAGACCACCTTGGAGAGAGCATCAAAACAACCAAAATCGAAAACTGTTCGATACATTCAAACGGGAAGTTTTCGCCAAATATAAGAAAGATCCACTTCACATGGTAGCAAACAGCCACCGTTAACCTTGACATGCCAGGAATAGAAAGAAAAGAAAACATATTTTTGGAAAGCAAAAGTGCCAACAAGAGGAATTATAAACAAGAGATGATATTACAATATTTTTACCAGAGAATAGAGGATAAAAAGAGGATTCAGAAGTGTTTGTAGTTACTTTCATGATAATCATAGCCAGCTTATTTTTATTCAATTATCTTTCCTGTCACAGTTACGATTTGACTTTCAATTTCGCTGATTTTGCACTTATATGTTCTTATTTCAATATTCTGTGTGTCGAATTATAATAAATGTCCAAATAATAATTGTTCCTCATCCTGTATATTCAATGTTTATAAATGTACTCAATGTGGACCACGTTTATTTACTAATATGTTCTTGGTAATAATAAAGTATTTACATTATGTACAACCATTAATTTTCTCATCCTAAATAAAAAAAATACTTCTTTATTCACTACAACAACAAAACCTCAATATAGTCTAGTTTAAAAATTTAGAAAAAAAATTGACTAATCAAAAATAAATTTTAAAAACTTTGTATACAAAATATTTTATACACAAATGATCAGTTTATTTTATTTCATATAGACAAGTCTTTTTTGTGCGCAGCGGCGTCGCTACGAACAGTCAATTGGGACCCACGATATTTAGGGCCCTCAAACATTGGGCTGTCACATACTTTTTCTGGGATGTTCATGCATTATGGGCCCCATTTCATAATTATGCCCGTGGTCTCAAAATCTAAAGGACGGGCCTGTTTATGCGGTTAATTTTGTGTGCGTTTAGTTCCTCGAATATACCGGTATCAAACAGTCCGGGTGGAACCTATTACCTAAACTATGTAAGGTATTCGTACATAAATATTAATAATGGATATTCAACGTGTGTATAAACTGATGTAATCTGATTTGATTCTGTTTGTTAAGTTAATAACAATCTCTCGGTTTCGTAATCAGAAGTTCTGGAGTTTTGACTGTGAGTTAACGTGGCGTGTGATTAAATGGAATCTCTTCCAGTTTGCGCAAACTAAACGTAATAAATTCAAATCATCGGGCAAGTTATTATATCCGAACTGAACTTTAGTTTAAAGATAATCAACGCGTCGGTAAAAAGATCGCCCCTCTTATGACCCAAAACCAGAGAAATTACCATACACTAATTACTATTGACTCACTGAACACGGGGAGGCAACTTTCATAATTAGCGTAAAAGTTTACGTTGATTTTAAGCCTGCGCATCGCCAAACACATTTCGTTAACTAAAAGCTATTTTTTGGCGGAAACTTTCCGAATATACTTACCTTGTTTGCTAATTCTTATTTTCGAAGAAAGTTTCATAAATATTATATAGAAAAACGAAATATTTAGAGTTGTAATATGGACAAAACTTTAGTAAATATGTAAGTCGAATTATTTATACAACAATTAAGTAAATAAAACTAATATATATTTTAATGATATAATTACAATTCTTAGCTTAAACTTATGAAAAAAATGAATGATATAATTCATTTTTCAACTTTTCAAAGGAAATTAATAAACGAATTAATTTGATCTCAATTTAACTTCAATCAAAATTTAATTATAGAATTTTTTATATAATTTTATTTAACCTTTAGTTTTATACAGACAATTTTGTAATTTTTTACAATTACAGCATTTTTATTGATATTTTCTTGGCTAATTATGAAATTGAATGGGGTATTTTATTACGAAATTTTGTTTTCAATCACCGAAGAAATATTTGAAATGAATACAATTAGATGAAATGTTTGTAGTCAGATTATTAGAAAAAAAGCTTAAGTTATTGTATATATTTAAACAACACATAAAATATACATTTTTACATAATTTCCTCTGTAAATGTTAAAAAAATATATGTAAAAGAAAAGTTGAACTGAGACAACTTTTCCACGCATTTGACCGTTTACGTCTCGGCAGATATGAAAAGCGGTAATTATTCTAATTACCTTGTTCTTGCAATAATGAAAAGTACTCAAGTACACGTGATATATTTCGTATTTAGATGGAAATTAATATGCAAAAGATTTGTGCAAAGCGTTTAACCTTCATTGAAAGTAGTGCAAAACCAGCGGCATTCCTTCAGTCGCTGCAAATATTTGTTACCATCGAGTCTATTCCAGATTATTAATAGGAAATCATATTTTACGATTTACGTTGAAACAAAAGATAAACGGATCAACAATGAGCCCAAAATTCGTCGTAGCCATCACCATTTTCATTATTCTGGTTCTAGTGCAATTCCAATTTACTTCAGCCGCAGGCAAGTTTACAAATTTGATATTACATAATATAAATTTTATGTTAACATAACATAATTTTTCAGTATAATAACTGAATATTCTTGAACTAAATATTATTTAATATAGTTGTAAAAAATATTATTTTATATTAAGTTATGTAATACATAACATTTTTTAAATCTGTAATATTTTATATGTATTATTAAATTAAAATTGTTAACAAAAAATATTTCTGTCAATTTTTCTACATCTGAAAATAAAAAAAATAGTTTTAAAGTTCATAAATATCTTCAGGCTTTTCATAGAAATCCTAATGTATATATGAGAGCTTTAACTCTTTCAATTGTTAAAAGTTTTAACAGAAAAAACGTTTTAAATAACATTATTTCAGACTAATTATCTTAAGAATGCAAAAATAAACTTGTTTCTATCATTTTTTTTTATCATCTTATCATAAAATTAAATAATTTATATTACAAATATATTAAAGACCGAAAACAAGGAATTATTATTATAAATTAAATATGAATAATCACGTTATTTTTCATTTTTCTGAATTATTATCATTGATTTGATTTATTTACACACCCAAATTTTAAACTCTGCAATATCCATATTATATTACATTCTTATAGGGGAGTACTCATTAGACGTTTTGTAACTTATCAAATTCAAATATTATGTGCAAATCATAGTAATTCATGAATGGACATTCTTTATAATCAAGATTTTCCTTTGTTGTCCTACTAATTATACTTAATAAACATATAATAGAATCTTAACAATTGATCCGTTAATTTTAATCCATTAAGTTACAAAGTTTTCAAAACTACCGCCTTTTTCGAAAAATTTGCGTAAAATGTTATGGAAACATAATACGTATTTTCAATTTATTACAATTTATCAATTTACATGACAGACAAAACATCTTATTGAAAATCCTTACATTTAATGCATATACCAAGTATTGTGTTTAGTAGAGAAATTAAAATTAAGGTACAATACACATATGCAATATATTTTAATCTATAAAATGTATTTTTCAAGAATTATGTTATGAAAAATCTTTATTTATTGTTTACTAATTTATATAATTAAAATGAGTAAAAAAGATCTTTCAGTTATTGTGGTTTGGTGCATTTTCGTCGCTAAGGTATTTTATTATTCATGATGCCAATATATTCGTCATAAGCGCATCGCAATATATACCATGACGAATATATACGACATAACCAAATAAGGAGTTAATAAGTATTAGTTTTTAGAGTATTTTTAGGAGCTTTTTTATGTTTCAAATAAATAATAGATGTTACCAATACAATATAATATTTTGCTTAAACTGTGGACATTTTTTTTTAAATTATTGATATTTGACAATAATATCATGTTTCTGAAATAAAACTTATTTCATAACATATGAATAAAAATGTATCATAATAAATTATTGATTAAACAATACAATAATGAAAATAATTTGTTTATGTTTCTAATTATAGGAAGAAGATTTCGATGCAGAAAACAAAACGAGCACTACGAATGTGGAAGCATGTGTCAGACTCGATGCACAAACTTGGGAAAGAAGTGCAGAATCCAGACGGACAGATGCAAGGACGGATGCTACTGCAAGAACGGATTCGCCAGAGATACATTGGGTGAATGCATTCCCGTCGACAAGTGTCCCAAGAAATAATCCCGCCGAAGCTAGCATTAATTTATTGCGTAATCAAAAGTACCTACATAATCGTGTTCTAGAACAAATAACAATTAGAATTAGGATAAGCATGATGTTACACAACCAGCTGAATAAATGAATACATTCCAGTTGTATCGTTTCATTTTTCCTTTCGAATTGTGCAACTGTTGTTGTTTGCTGCTGCAGCCGACGTCTATTTTTAAGCAAATCAAAACGTGAGTACCGTTAACTAATCGATCGAATTACATTGCACTGCAAATGTCGAGTGGATTTATTGCGCGTTTGTTACTTCTTGTTCGGGCATTGGCTACTAGGAATGCAGTTGTCCTTTGAGTCCCTCGAGAATCCTTCGTCGCAATAGCAAACGTCGTTACATCGAATGAATCTCAGTCGACAAGGTAAACCTAGTGTTGAACAATTCGATTCACAGGTGCTTGTACATTCGTAATGTTCATTAGGTTTAGGACAATTCTTTACAATACCTACAACGAAAAAAAAAATTAAAAAATATTATATAACTATCATTACAAAACAATAATATTTCTACAAAATTAGATAATTAAATGAAAATTACAGAAATAATTCTAGACAAAGAAAGTATACAATTAAGAAAAACGCCGAAAGGTTCACACAAGGCAATATTATTTTCTTAAATTAACTTATCTAATTCATGTTCAGTTAAATAAGAAGAGAAATTAAATAAATAACATTTTAAAATATTTACCTCCAACTGTATTGTAGGGTTGACTGAAAGTCTCATTTGTTAATAATATGAAAAATAGAAACGCTTGCAGGAACATCTTGTTACAAAATTAGTCGGTAAACAAAGAAATCTTTGCTATTTATACGTAATGTTTTCATCTAATATCGATTACAGCATCGCTAATAATAGACATTAAAGTAGTTCTGGGTAAGCATACAATACCAAGAACGCTTAATACAATAACAATTATTTATAATAATGTATGCTAATGTAAATAATTCAATAATTGATTTTGTACTTTAAAATAAATTTTATTGGTAATTTTTGTTAATACTTTTAAAGAAATATGGACAAATTGAGTTCAATATATTATTTTGTGATATATTTGGACATATGTAAATATAGTTTAGCAGTGTTTATACTCAATTTGAGAGCAATAGACTGGTTCTTTGTTTGTTTTACTGGATGAGTAGAAATCTTCAAAAGGGACCATGGCTGGAAAGGAACTGTGAGATTTGTATACACTAAAACCAGTCCTCTCTCATCCAAACATGCAGAGCCCATGGTTTGGCACTGGATTTCTGATCATGCTGATTTGTCCTTGCAAACCCGTTTCGCGTCAGCACTTCTATTTTTCAATCACACACACCCATCATCATCTTCTTGTCTATGTACTTCAGTACTTCAGTCAATTATTTCCTTTTTACACGTAAAGATTTCATCAAATATATATAGCTAATAATAGACAGTACAGTAGCACTGGGTGAGCATACAATACCAGAATTGCTTAATATAATAACAATTTTTGATAATAATTTTCTAAAATTAAGTTTTTTTATTGATAATTTTTGTTTACTCTTTTAAAGAAATATTAACATATTCACATTGAGCATATTTAAGCACCGTTTATACTCAATTTGAGAGTAATAAAATAGTAGTCTTCATTTGTTTTAAGTAAAATAGTCCATGTTTTATACACTAAAATGACACCTCTCTCTTCTAAGCATGCACAGCTCATGGTTTGGCACTAGTTTTCTTAATAATCTGGTATATCACACCCACTCACGCACAGCAATCATCACCTTTTTGTCTGCCTTCTTAAATCAGCCAACATTTGCTACTATATCCCATTTCACCTGGCTTCCTGACATGATTTCCACCACGGTTTCCAGCGTGTCTTCTAGCTTAGCTTCCTTGATGCCTACCGTTAGAACCAGAAGATGGTGGGAAGGTAGTCTAATGGAAAGGATATGCTATCATCATTTCATACATTATACGAACCTTAAGGATCTCTTTAATTCTTCTCAAACATAAATTTTATACAAATCTAGAACAAAATGAATATCTTGCCCAAGCTTCTTCAAACCCAAGTACATTAATTTATTAGGATATTAAATAAATTATATAAAGAAATGATCCCATTTAAAATGTTAATTAAAAAAGATAAGTACAATATTCTTAATCACAATTCTTATACTTATTTAGATATTTTTAATTGAACTTATAATACAACTTATTTAATATACAAGCATTTAATATTGAGAAAAGAACATTTATTTTCAATTAGCAATCAAATTATTACAGTTTTTTTTTGTTCCTACCAATCTATAAGCCAGTTAAAGTATGCAACTTAGTATACACTTTTCGGTATATGTATAACGTGACAATTTAGTATTTTCCTCAAAACGAAACAATTACTAATTTAAAAAATATGTAACTTATTCACAAGGGAAAAGACTCTTTCTATGGGTGCATTAGTGTTTCTGTGTCTTGTTTAGAATCAATAAATCCTTTTTCAATTAATTCATCTTATGGATTTATTCCCACCTAGAAATTATAGTTAAATTTGTCAATTAAAATATTCTTTGAAGAACACAGTCTTCTGCTCTCTTTCTAAAGACGGGACATTGCGGCATCGCGAAGCTGTGCTTGGGGATAACGGGATGTATCGTCACTTTATGTATGTAACCAGTTAGTGTCATATTTAACATAAAACAATAAAAATAAGTACAAAAAATATTATTTGTATTCTTTGTATTCAAATATAACGCAGTTTCTTTTTGGGTCATCCGTTCGAGAGATCAGGAAATATTTCACTCTCTGTATATTAAGTTGCATAACTATACTTATGTTTGGAATAAAATAACAAAAGATATGTAATGCTAAATTAACATAAGAAGGACGTATTTAATGGAACGGCAATAATGGTATGTAAATATAATCAAATTTTGATAAAAACACAAGTTCACTTTTTATTGTTTGTTATGTATGTATGAACGAAGGTGATAAGAAATGGAAAGTCCCTTATCACAAATCTAAAAGTACTTATAATATTTAGTTCAAGTGACTTTTAGTAATATTTAGTAATATTTAGTTCAAGTGACTAAATACTTATAAAAATTCTAATGTTTATCTTAAATGCAATATTTTTGTATAAATTGTTTTTTTTTTATCTTATAGAAATATACATAAATCTTGATACTACTTATAACACATAGATACTTGTGTTTTTATAATAAAATATATTGAGAAAATATAAACATTTTAAATAAAAACATACAATAATAAGTTGTTTTTTAATTTAATTTAATTTGTATATGTATTTATTTATAATAAATATAATAAATTATAATTGAATATAATTAAATTTCACTATTTTATAATAATTTTTTGAATAAACTTCATTTCTATATTAATTATTACATAAATTAATAATATTATCATAGGGCAGTTGCAAATATCACATTGGATGATATTAAAATTTCATTGAAAAACCAATGAGATTCAATAATAATAATTATACCAAATTGGATTGGAATAAAATTGTTTAATCAAAACAAAACACAATGTATTTGTATTTGCAATATTTAGAGGAAATTGTAGTAATTAAAATTAAACATACTTTTTTTAAGTATTAGATAACATACATCTACTTAAACATGCAGAAAGCGTGTTTCTTTTAGCAAAATTTAAATTATTTCTGGAACGTGTTTGAAATGTAGACTATTCTTCAAGCACGTACAATAAATAAAATATGTTTACTTTTTGTATGTAACATTTACATAAAAACATCTAAAATATAGGAAGCAAAGCATATATTTTATAAAATTATTTTATTTATTTCAAATTCATATTAAATCAGATTTTGTTATGAACGCATATTTCTGCTCAAATAAAATTCACTCTTTACTTAAATTACATATTTTGGTATATGGTAACAAACTTCTCTAAAATCAACCAATTAATAAAATTACATTCATTTTTGGAATAAGAATCAAATCTAAACTCAGATACAAACAATTATAAAGGGTGTTCCAAAATTAACACAAGATTTGAATTAAATAGAAAACACAGTTTTTAGTCTTCAGGTTGTGATTTTTCTATTGAATCATAAAATACATAGGACAGGGTTATTTATGGAATAACACATCGGGCAAATGGCTTCCACAGCTTTGCTGAGAATTTCGTTGATGCAGCGTTTAATTTCATCCTGTAATACACGGGCGGTTGTGGGTTTGTTGACATAGACCTTTGATTTCAAATAATCCCATAAAAAGAAATCTAATAGTGTTAAATCACAAGATCTAGGGGAATTACAATTAACAAAGCCATTAATTAACCAATAATTAACAAAGCCATCAAAGTGAAAATGTGCTTCATCGCTTAAGATGATTTTGCTCGAAAAATCAGCATCCACTTGTTGATGCTCAATAATCCATTCAACGCCCCATTTTTACTAACCCTAACCTGCCAGCTGTCAAATTGTTTTTTTTTTGGGTTGCCAACGATTTACTGCACAAATGGCAGCAAATTCAAATCTTGCTTTAATTTTGGGACACCCTTATATAGAGCAGAGGTTCCCAAACTTTTTTGTGTCGTAGACCCCTTGCCATGTTTTTCGGTTTTGGGTAGACACGCTACTTACCTGATATTGATTTTTTGTAAATTTATTATTTGTATTGGGACATCTTTATAATTATTAAGATCTTTGCTCTGAGACTGCGCGTATGCTTGTAACAAGATGATACTGGTATATCATTATGTGCAGATTTTTACAAGTTCAAAATGTATTGCGACTACAAAGCGAATGCCTACATCCTACAACTTACACAATTTTATAAACATATATAATAATTTTTTACTACATAGGTACTTTTATAAATAATGTATATGTTTTTATATTATAAGATAGTATAATGTAAGTAAATAGGTACTATCAGTGTATGTTGAGATCCACTATCGCGGACCCCCATTTTCATTTCATGGACCCTCAATTTTTTTTTGCCGACGTAAACCCCTTGCAGGTTGTCATAGACCCCTAGGGGTCGATATAGACCACATTGGGAATTACTTATAATGCACAACTTGAAAGTCGTCAGCTGCATTTTTTATGCGGAATTCTTTTTAACAAAATTAGAGTTAACATGCAGTCACATAAGCTCTGTACATATCTCTAAAAGTATAAGCACCATATTTACGACAAATACATTATTGAAATGTACTCGCGGGCTGTGTAATATTATTTCGAGTGCCGAATTTGGCCCACGAGCCTCCTTTTTGAAACTTATTATATATTGGATTGAAATATATAGAAAGGAAATATTACCATTTAATTTATTTTCTCATTCATCGATCGGAACACAAGATTCAGTTCGATCTCAGGAATATCCATATATTACAGCTTAAATCATGATTTTAGAAAAAAAAATTGTCTTAGATTATAAGTATAATTTACGACTAACTGATAACATAAAGCGATTTAAAGTCTATTGCATTTTGATGATTTATATATAAAACGGATATTTACAAAAAGGATTTAGTAACAATAGAGGAGGAGAGAGTCATAAATTTAATTACATTGCCTTTGTTATTATGCATAAAAATTATAAAAAATGAATAATTGTTAAGTAAATTTGTATATAAATATTATCGTTTTTAGCACTTTTAGTTGAGCAACATGAATCGTGGTTTACTTTTTGTTGTAGTTCTGTGCGTTTGCCAGATCAACGCTTATTACGATCCGAACGGAAGTAAGTAATATAAATATGTAACTATAACTTAGATAATGTCTTATTTTGTAGTTCCCAAGGGTTGTTTCAGGCCTAATGAGAAGTACGCGTGTGGAAGTGCTTGTCAGGTGACGTGTGCCACCCTTGGACAAACCTGTGACATCATTAATAAAAAATGCAACGATCGTTGCTATTGTGAAGAAGGATACGCTCGTGATCAAACTGGTTCTTGTGTATCGATCGATAAATGCAATGACAGACTGAACGGTGAAAATTGGTTTTATAATCTTCTTTAATAAAGTCTTCAATTTGTTCTTTTAGGTATTTGCGGGATCAATGAAGAATTACGCTTGGATTTCTATACGAGAAACGAGTGCATTCCTCAGTTATTAACTGAAGAGGTCGAGGAGGGAGACAAATATGGTTGTTATTGCATTGAAGGATACTTGAGGGACCCATCCGGTCTCTGCGTTCCTTTCAATTATTGTCCGATGCCCTAAAGCAGAGGTTTTCAAACTTTTAGAAAATTATACATTTTATTAAATATAATGAATATTCATACTAAGGTTATGTATTTATATCAATATTGAAAATAGAATGAAGTAAAATGTTTAAAAAAAATAGTTTTATTATTTCAAATATTATATATGTTTATTGTATATTAATATGTAGAAAATGTCTTAAATATGTCAACTTCTATAATAAATTATTAGAAATAAAAAAAATAGTAAAAACTACTAATAAAAACTACCGGTTTTGAGGGTTAATAAACTAAATTAACTAATGTGAAAATAATAGTGTATACCTATCACTGAACGCAGACGGACTCCGCTGTTTATTTTTATGACTTTCTTGGCCAGGGAGCTCGCGTAACTTCTGTTGTAACTTCTTATTACTTTTCTTAAGTATGTGGCAATTCCTCATTTTCTTGTTTCTTCTAGTATTATTTTTCATTGAAGGCATTTTTGACATCCAAAGTCAGTAAGGCACAATTATTTCTATTGCTTCTTGTGCCAGCTCTTGATTTCTTCGCATGTTGATCACCGCTTTGGGATCTTTCACCTTTCTGGAAATTTTCAGTCTACTGTTGTATCATTTATTATACTAAACACTGCTTGAGGATGTTCTCTTACCAGAATTTTGAAAATTTCAGTTGCCTGGACCTGATGGCATAAAACTTTGGGAATCTGTCTCATATCGAGCATCGATATAATTAAAAACTTACTTACCAATGCTAAAAGGTTCTCCACTAATTATGATTTCCATCACCTAGTTAACCTCAGCCTTCTTAAGGAAAATAAAACTGAGGTCAGCACTAAGTACCAATACCAGCTGAAATACTATCTAAATAAACTATCTATGGAGCTGATTAAATCATCGTCGAATACTGAAGACATTTAGATACAATATCTCCCAAATCTATTTAATCAACTAAATAAAACAGATGGAATGTGTATACGTGTGAACATAAATATATGTAAACTATATTTGATGTTTGGTTACTGGCTGAATTCTTTAATACTCAGATTTATATATCTTAACAAAATTATCAATAAAGCTAATTATCTTATAAGATAAATTTATTTAATTGCCTTAACATATAAAATTTACTTTAGTAAATAATAAAATGCCCCCCAGGTCACAGCAAAATCATCCCGCTTGCAACACTTTCACGCTACAATATGAGTATGAAAGAAAGCCCAATAAGTACATTTCAGTACTTACAGGATTAGAAAAAAGAATTTCAAAAAAAATCAATTTGAGAAAATTAAAAAATAATTCATAAATTTTATTTATTATTTAGTAAAAACTGCATGTATATAAGAGAAATAATGATGTAACTACTGAATAAAATCAAAAATTGTACTCTATAAATGCTGAAAAAAATGTGAAAACTGTATAATTGAATAATTTGAATTGGATTACGGTATAAATGAATAGAAATATTATTTTATTCATAATGGTACAAAATCAAAACTTGTAAAATGGAATTGAACTTTGTGGATACTTTGGAGGCGGTTGAATTGGGCATTTTGCTGCTGGAATACATTTCCCAGACGGATCTCTTTTATATCCTTTAATACAGAAACATCCTAAGACTTTTCGCTTGGAAACTTCAATTTCTGTAAGCTTCTGAATGTAGCATTCATTGTTCAAGTAAAAATCAAGTCTGTATTCTTCATGATCACCACATTTACCTAAAAATAAATAACAAAAATAAAATTAATGTATTATCAATAATTATTGATCAGAATATATAACAGATACAGAAGACTTCACATAATAATTAAATTTAAAATTTAGTATCAATAAGGCTAATATAAATATAATTAATTATTTAACATACCGTTCAATCTGTCTTTACAATATTTAATGTGGACACACGTTCCAGTTTGATCCCTAGCGTAATTTTTGATGCAATAACACATGTCGTTACATCTTACATTTATTATTGGACAAATTTTGTTGTAGTTGTAGCATGTAATTTGACAAGCTCCGCCACAGTAATAAACTTCGTTAGGTCTAAAACAGTCTTTTGGGCCAATAGCAAGGACTTCTAGGATGCCAAAAAGGACAATAATTGCAAACATCGTAACCTTCATCGTGCAAAGGCAATATTAAATTAAAATAAAAATGTCACCTTTTTATACCAATTTAGCTAAAATACAGTGGCGGATTTAGGATTGGTCTAAATAGGCTGGAAGCGCAGAGCCCCGTTCAATCAAAAGGCCACCCAAAAAAAATAAGTCCAAGGCTCTAGAACAATGTTATTTGAGGGCCCTCAAAAGTATTAGTCGAGGGCCCCAATATAGTGTTAGCACAGGGTCCTGAAAATTAACGGTCCGCTCCTGTAAAAATAAAATTTTATCGAAATCTACATATGTATTTTTTTATGGGTTTCTTTATTTTCTTTCATTTCAACTGTAACCATTTCCTGTTAGTGAGATAACATTTTTTTTAATATGAAATACGTTTCTCTGTTATTATCGGTGCGGTTTTATCGGGCATTACTCGCAAATTCTAAAATATATTTTCAAAGCATATATTGTTGCACAATTAGGTAGGTATGGTTCTAATGACATAAGTATGTTTTCTCAACGGTTTTTTTTCGTAATATTATTATTCTTTTAAAGAAAAGGTAAGTTTGAAGATTTTGAGAATATTATAAGATGATTGAATTTAAGTATACTTAACTTAAGATGACTTATTTTAAGGATACTTAACTTAAGACGTCTTAATTTATGTATACTTAACTAAAGATGACTTAATTTATGTATACTTAACTAAATATTACTTAATTTAAGTATACTTAACTTAAGACGACTTAATTCAAGTCTTCTTAACTAAAGATGACTTAATTCAAGTCTTCTTAACTAAAGATGACTTATATTAAGGATACTTAACATGATTTAAGTATACTTAACTTAAGACGTCTTAATTTATGTATACTTAACTAAACATGACTTATTATAAGGATATTTAACTAAATATTACTTAATTTATGTATACTAAAGATGACTTATTTTAAGGATACTTAACTTAAGATGATTTAAATTAAGTCAATTTAACTAAAAATGACTTAATTTAAGTATACTTAACTAAATATTACTTAATTTAAGTATACTTAACTTAAGATAACTTTATTTAAGTATACTTTAAGTATACTTTAAGTATACTTAACTAAATATTACTTAATTTAAGTATAGTTAACTTAAGATAACTTTATTTAAGTATACTTAACTTAAGACGTCTTAATTTATGTATACTTAACTAAAGATGACTTATTTTAAGGATACTTAACTAAATATTACTTAACTTAATACGACTTAATTCAAGTATATTTAACTGAAGATGACTTATTTTAAGGTTACTTAACTTAGGATGATTTAATTTAAGACGTCTTAATTTATGTATACTTAACTAAAGATGACTTATTTTAAGGATACTTAACTTAAGATGATTTAATTTAAGTATACTTAACTTAAGACCACTTTGCTTCAATATACTTAACTTAAGACGACTTAATTTAAATATACTTAAATAAAGATGACTTAATTCAAGTATACAAAATTGAATTTCAGACAAAAAAAAGTATGTGTATCTTACATGCAAGTATATCTTGTCTGGATAATAAATTTCAACACAATTGATATAAATTAAATAAATAAATATTATTATCATTTAACATTGTTCAACATTTGATGTATAATTAAAATGCATTAATTCTCTTTTGTTTTTATTTTTTTTGTAAATGTATTTTATAACAATAGCCAGATTTTTACGTCTCTTAGAAATTACTATATAAACGGCAGTAAAATTATCTAAATTATATAATTGCCAACATGGGTATTCAACGTCTAATCATCCTTGCAGCTTTCTGTTTCTTGCAAACTTTGGCGATTGGCTACATCCCAAAGGACTGCTTCAGGCCAAAGGAATTTTACAGCTGTGGATCGGCATGTCAAATAACCTGCGAAACTCTTAATCAAACTTGCCCAATTATTAACATAATCTGTAACGATGTGTGCTATTGCGTCGAAGGTTATGCTAGAGATCAAACTGGAACATGCGTGCCTATTGACAAATGCGAGGATAGGTTGAATGGTAAGATAATAATATTTATATTTTGTAATTTGTATATCATTGGTAATTGTTGTTATAGGTATTTGCGGAGAAAATGAGGAATATCGTGTTGATTTCTACTTGCATAACGATTGTCACGAGCAGTTGCTTACTGATCTGGAAGTACCACAAGAGGATGCTTTAGGTTGCTACTGCATTGCTGGATACAAGAGGGCTCCGACTGGTATTTGCATTCCTGCTGCAGAGTGTCCACCAAAACCACCAGCAAAATACCCAGAAAATAACTAATTGGAAAACTAAACTTACATTAATATGACTTAATTAAAGCATACTTAACATAAGATAATTTAACATAATCCTTTCATCTTGTCTGGTAATGATCAATAATTTATTTTTATTCAGCTACAAATGGGTTAACCATCTTTTGCAATCATTAATATTTTCTGGAAGGAACTTCTTTAATGTCATCTTTATTTTTTTAATCTCCCACATACAAACCATAATCTGCATTGAATATGTGTGTTGGCACAATACAATAAATAAATGAATTGTATAGTTTTCTCATATAATTTATTACTTTATAGCATACAATAGATGTGTAGTTTCTATACTCATATATGATTTGAGTTTCAATATAAGTATCAGGTGCAATGTTGGAAGTATATCCAACAAATTAAATGTAAGAAATACGTTAATTAATTTACGATTTGCTATTTGGATATTTGGCTGGTGGCTTTGGAGGACACTCAGCAGCTGGAATGCACTTTCCAGATGGATCTCTCTTATAACCAGCAATGCAATAACATCCCATTCTATCCCCAGATTCGATTTCCCAGCTATTGAGCAATTGCTCGTGGCAAGTATCGTGCAAGTAGAAATCCACTCGGTTTTCCTCGTTCTCGCCGCAAATACCTATAGAACATACCAAAATAATCAATAAGTTCATTTAAACAAGCTATTTTGATTACCATTAAGTCGATCCGCGCATTTCGCTATTGCCACACAATTTCCAGTCTGATCTCTGGCATAACCCTTTTTGCAATAGCACCAATCGTTGCAGACGATGTTTGCTATCAAGCATGGTTTATTGTAATTGGTGCAGGTTATTTGGCAAGCACCATTGCATAAGTATACCTCGTTTGGTCTGAAACAGTCTTTCGGTGATTGAAATGCAATGGTTTGCATAACGCAAATAGCGGCAATCACAACTGATGTTTTCAATGCCATCGTTGCGCATTGAATGGTCTTCTATACTGAATGTAACGAGTTTTTGTATCAGTATATGTCGCTGATTTTCCTGTATGCATGACCTTTCCGTTGCATAGGAAACAAATAACCAGTCGGTCAGAGTCGGATTAAGATTATGTTATTGTTTACACCAAACATTAAAAATGTATATTTTTCTTTTGTCAGATTGATTAATTAAAAATAAATGTGTATATATATAGTATTTAATTTGGTTGCTATGTCAAGGGATATATATTGATAGTCCATACCATCCAATGTTGATTCTTTAGTTGACGAAGTTAGCTGATTCAGTAGTCTAATTTTTTTTCGGGTCTTATAGAGAGTAAAAAAATTACAAAGTTGTAGAAATATTTTACTTGTAAAAATATATTTTTCAGTCTTAACTTTCTTTAGAGCGTACTAAATAAGCATGAGTTAATACTAAAAGATTATTAAACACAATGGACTATGGGATTAACGAAAATAAATATAAAACAATGGAAAACTGCATTTTATATTCATTATCGTTAACAATTAATTACTATGCAAATAATTTTCTCATATAAATACATAGCGCTTTCATGAGGTTATTAGTATATCAACATGTTCGCACAAATCAGTTTCGTTCTTTTAGTTGGCATTGCTTTATGCAGCGCTAATGGTGGTTTTTGTAAATTGCTCATTTTTCATTTTGTATCTTTTCTAACTGTATTTTATATTTAGTTCCAAGGGATTGCTTCAGACCTAATGAAGCCTACTACTGCGGCAGCGCCTGTCAAACAACATGCTTAAACTATAATGAAACTTGCCCAATAATCAATATTATGTGCAACGATATGTGTTATTGCATCCCAGGTTATGCTAGAGATCAAACTGGTTCTTGTATTCCTTATAAGAAATGCGAAGAAAGATTGAACGGTTAGATTTATATCTTATATAAGAAAATGGATTTAAATTATATTTATCTTTTAGGAATTTGCGGAGAGAACGAAGAACTTCGTGTTGATACCCATTTGAACAATGAATGCCATGCTATAGCTTGGGATCAGTATCTTAGACAAGAACACGTTGAAGGATGTTATTGCATCAAAGGATACAAGAAGGATTCAACTGGCAAATGCATTCCTCAAGAGCAGTGCACTCCCATACCAGACAGCACCACCACAACTCGTGCCCCTCCTGTATAAGCAATTATATTCAAAGATATTTAAATACACTATTAAACTTTACTTTTGTTTTTTTATATACAAACTCGAAAAATGCAATTAATTTGCTTAGTTACACTAATATAATTTCTGTTTAAAAAAACATATGAATTATGTAGATTATTTATAATAATATATATTGTTAGTTTTATAAACTTCATTATTTTTTTTTCTACTATATTACAAAACAATGACTACATTAGTATACAATTTTGTACATCTACATTTTTTTTAAGACATAATCTTCAGATTAAGATACTCAAAACATACTATCATTAAGCAAATTTTGAAGAAAACTTAACCTATTGAGATCTCAACAAGACGTCATATTAGATATTATGGGATATTATTTTGACATTAATATACTTTATTGTGACGTAGGAAGTTCCTGAGGTTGAAATCGTTTCAGTCTTCGCAGATAGTTATCTGTGTTCCTCGTCTGTTTACCTAGTTGATTCTCATGATGCTCCAGGCGATGATGATATCTGATGCTGGCTTTTTTGATCTCTTCTTTAACGATGCTGATATTAGTGGATTGATGAATACAATTATTGATGGAGAACCAAATAGAATTGATCATTTGCCATAACGATTTTCATATGAATCTCTCAATGATATCTATTCTTGAGTAGCAAGAAGATCCCCAAAATTAGATACCATAAGTCCATATGGGTTTGATGATTGGCTTATATATACAAACTCCTTGTTTTCGGTTGAGATTGCCCAGTAGCCAATGCAGATTTTTAACCATCAAACCAAGTTGTTTCCTTTTGGCAGCGATAAGTTTTTTTTTCATCTAAGCTATCTATTCCTAGTTATTTAGCTTCAACTGCTTGATGTGCAACTTGAAAATATAGCTGTTTGGGATAATATTTAGGTTTGACAACATAACGTAATTTAATAATTATTTATTCATTTTTTTGTACATAAATCATATTTGTTCCCTAATATATAGTGAAGTCCCTTTTTGTGCCATTTATATTTAAGCGGTTTTAAAATCCTTGATTAGTCCAGTATCAAACTGCCGAAAATTGGTGAACTTGTTTATCAATTCTATGCGAGACATACATGTTCAATAATTTCCCAAAAAATGTACTAAATAAACATAACTTAATACTAATATTCTAAATACAATGCAATATAGGATTAACTGAAATTAATTCAAAAGTAATCATCAACGTGACAAAATAATTACTGTGTAAACATATTCTGAGTATAAATTGTCAGAGTTTTCGCTCGTTATTCATTCCATCAAAATGTTTGCACAAACCAGTTTCATTCTTTTAGTTGGCCTTGCTTTATGCAGCGCCAATGGTGGTAGATGTAAGTTACACAATAACAAAAATTAATATTTTATAATTATTAAAAAACTAAATATATTTAATCATCAGTTCCAAGGGATTGCTTCAGACCTAATGAAGCCTACTCCTGCGGCAGCGCCTGTCAAACAACATGCTTAAACTACAATGAAACTTGCCCAATTATCAATATTATGTGCAACGATATGTGTTATTGCATCTCAGGTTATGCTAGAGATCAAACTGGTTCTTGTATTCCCTACGAGAAATGCGAAGAAAGATTGAGTGGTTGGTTTTATATCTTATATAAGAAAAAAAATGGATTTAAATTATATTTTTCTTTTAGGAATTTGCGGAGAGAACGAAGAACTTCGTGTTGATACCCATTTGAACAATGAATGCCATGCTATAGCTTGGGATCAGTATCTTAGACAAGAACACGTTGAAGGATGTTATTGCATCAAAGGATACAAGAAGGATTCAACTGGCAAATGCATTCCTCAAGAGCAGTGCACTCCCATACCAGACAGCACCACCACAACTCGTGCCCCTCCTGTATAAGCAATTATATTCAAAGATAATCAAATACACTATTAAACTTTACTTTTGTTTTTTTATATCCAAACTCGAAAAATGCAATTAATTTGTTTAGTTACACTAATATAATTTCTGTTTAAAAAAACATGTTAATTATGAAGATTATTTATAATAATATATATTGTTAGTTTTATAATCTTCATTATTATTTTTTCTACTATATTACAAAGCAATGAATACGTTAGTATACAATTTTGTACATCTACATTTTTTTTAACACATAATCTTCAGATTAAGATACTGAAAACATTCTATCATTAAGCAAATTTTGAAGAAAACTTAACCTAATTGAGATATCAACGAGACGTCATATTAGATATTATTGGATATTATTTTGACATTAATATACTTTATTGTGATGTAAGAAGTTCCTGCGGTTGAAATCGTATCTGTGTTCCTCGTCTCTTTACCTAGTTGATTCTGATGATGCTCCAGGCGATGATGATATCTGATGCAGGCTTTTTTGATCTCTTCTTTAACGATGCTGATATTTGTGGATTGATGAATACAATTATTGATGGAGAACCAAATAGAATTGGTTATTTGCCATAACGATTTTCATATGAATCTCTCAATGATATCTATTCTTGAGTAGCAAGCATATTCCAAAGTTGGATACCATAAGTCCATATGGGTTTGATGATTGCCTTATATATAAGGAGTTTGTTTTCGGTGGAGATTGCCCAGTAGCCAATGCAGTTTTTTAACTAACAAACCAAGTAGTTTCCTTATGGTAGCGATATGTTTTTTTTTCATCTAAGCCATCCAACAATATCTGTTCCTAGTTGATCAAACAATATAAATGTTAATTCTGCAAAATAAAAATAAATTCTGAAATAAATAGAACGCAACATTATTTTTATTACATAAATTAACATTTTTTGGTTGCTTTTATATTCAGTTCATTCTCTTTGTGTGTAGTTTATTTTTATGCGCTTTTAAAGTTCTCGAATAATGCGGTTTCATACAGTGCGGGTTATTAGCGGAAACCGTACTATGCGAGATATTGCTGTACAATTTTATCAGATTTTAATGAAATATATTAGGAAAAAAATATCAGAAAAACTTTGGTCGTTAACACGTTGGATCAAATTAAAGGTAATAAAAATTATATATTCTTCAAATAATTTACAATAATTGAAATTATTTTTAATAAAGTTATACATTTAAAAAATCAATTATATATGAAACACTATTTTTTTAGTTCACTTGCATTTTTTATGATAGTAATATTCGTAAATATTTTGAATATCAATAACATTTAGTATTCTTGATTTTGTTTTCAAATATTCGCATATATTAAGATAATAAAACTACTTACAGTATTGAATACAATAGAATAATTAAATAATGAACTTTGTAGTATATTTCATGGAAAATTGTTTAAGATTTAAAAGGAAGTTTCCTATTTACAATAATATATATGTTACAAATTTCAATTAATCAAGGATTTTAGTATATTCTTATCCATAAAATATTTAACTGTGTAAAAATTATATATTTCTATTCTATTAACCAAAGTTTTTCTGATTAATTTAACAAATTTCTTCTTAAGTCATATAATAAAAAGATGCGTTATATCAATTATATAAATTATTTGTTAATGATGAAATGGTAAACCGCATAGAAACGGAACAAAAACGATTTTACTTTTATTCTCCTGCTTTTATTGATTTCAAATTTTAAACTGGACTATAGTTAATCTGGAGTGACCAACGTCGTATTTTGCTTGGTATTACTGTATTTGTAATATACACTGTTTTAAAGCCTATGTGTATACTTGGTTGCCTAAAATAAGTGTACAGGAATTAATTTTACTTAGCAACAGCATAAAAAACTTATCAGACGGGGGTGAACGATAAAGTATCAATTATCAATGATGCAGTAGTGGGATTAGAAGACGTTGCAGTACTAGTTATAAGATCATTATGGATACATAAATCATATGTAATACATAAATAAAAACAAATAAGGCATGTCGCACTCTGTACTTAGATGAAAAACTGTACAGTTAACAACATATGTATATATAAATACTCAAGTTGGTAAGACAACGCCCAATTTTATTTGGATTTGGGGAATCGAATAGCAAGGTTTCAAATAACACGGCTAATGACCTAATGACCTAGTTGTCGATGCCTTATGTCAAAAAAAAAAAAA